GCGCTGCCTTGTGCCGAAACGCGGTGCATGCTCAGTGCCTTCGTGGACATTCGCACGCTGGTCCCAGAGCCGAAACGGGGAGGGCGCATCCGCCCCCGTGGCGCTGGCAACACCTGGGCAGCGCGACACGGCAGACCCGCGCGGCAGACGCACAGGGCAAACCACCCAACGGCCTTTACGTGCTCCGGACGTGCACCCCGCGAAGCGAAAATAATAACTCACCTTGGCATCCCCTGAGATCCGACACGGCGACAAAATTGCAACATAGTCAAACATCACGCCCGGAGCCCCAGACCCCATCTGCTTGCGCCACTCTTCGAGCCGCACCGATCTGTGAGGGCCCTGGGGCCCGAACAAAAAGGCGACCGCGCCCGGCTCGAAGAAGGTCGAGACGCCAGGATCTCAGGGTCCACCGATCGCCCCTTCGTCCCCTCGGCAGCCCCCTCGCCGAGCCCCCTGGCCAACAACAAAAAAACTCAGCTCAGATCTGCGCGGTGCCTCACTCCGCAGGACCCACCAGCAGCCCTCGAAAGTGGCGACAGTTTCGCAGATCGCAGCCCCCATCATCGGCGAAGAGAGGGCAGGAGGAGGCGGGAGGCGGGAGAAGGAGGGACGCGACCACAGTGCTCTATTCAAACCGAATGCCCAACCAAGGAGGGTTGGGAACAAAACCTGGCCTCCACCAGGGCCCCGAGCTGCTGGCCGGCCCGCGGCCCGACGACCCACGGCCCAGAAAAGGGGGCCCCGCGGCGCGCGCCGACCGGCAGCGCGAGAGGCTGGCGTCGCGTCCAAAGGTCACGGTGGTCACGCCTCCGAGCTCCTCGTCTTTTTTGTTTTCCTCCTCCTCCTCCTCCTCCTCTCCCCTCTCGTCCTTCACCTCGTTCTCCTCTCCGTTTTCCGTCTCCTCCTCCTCCTCTTCTTCTCCCTCTTTCTCCTCCTCCTCCTCCTCCTCCTCGTTCCTCTCCTTATTCCTACTCCTCCGCCTGCTCCGGGTTTCTTAATAAGCGTCGGGGGGGCGTCAGCCCCGCCTGACAGTCCCACATCGACCCCCGTCGCGGGCAGCTACCGCGCGCCGAAGGCGCTCCGACCCCCGCCGCAGCGCGACGACGGGGCGAGGTTAACCCCCGTGGGGGGGGTACCCCCCCGCGCTTATCAAGAAACCCAAAGTCGGGCCGCGCTTGCGTGTGGCCGAGACAGCGGCGGCACTGCAGATGGTCCTGCGAGTTTCCGAGCCTTTCGGTTTCGGGGGCGCCGCGGCGCCAACGGCGGAGCGCGATCGCGCGAAGGCGCTCGCGGCGATCGTGCGAGGAGGCATCCGCGGCGCCTGCGCGAATGCACCCGCGGCGCCCTCGCGATCCGTCTTGCCTCGGCCTCGCGCTGGAGGCGATGACCCTGGCCACCCGTGCTCGTGGTGTGTTGGCTCATCCCACGAGAGGTGACCGGCGCTAGCCCCCAGTGGCTTGTTGTAAGAAGGTCCGTGGGTAGACAGGTGCACGCTGAGAACAGCATCCGTCGTGTCTTGATCCGGTGCGGGCCCCACTTTCGAGGCGAGCTGGATCGAACCGCCAAATCTCCAGAGAACTAATCGATGACAGGAAAACATAGCAACTCGGAGGTCCGCGCGGATTCCGCGGATCGTTTGTTCCTCTAAAACCTGTCTCGCTCGCTTCTGACCACCCTCGCTTCCAAACTGGAAGCAAGCGATACCAGGCTACTCATGGGATGGCCCGCAAGGTCAGGCTGCTTGACGAGGAGGCGCGTGGTATGACTTGATTAAGACTGGAAGCGAAAGCAGGGTAGGCAATTCGCCCTCTGAAAATCGGTTCGGATCGGAACGAATCGAGCCGCTACCGGGGAATCGAACCGAACCGAATCGGATCGACCACGCGGCCCCAGCCGGCAAGTTAATCGAATCGCACCTGATCGGATCGTGGGCGGCTCTGCACCACGGAGGGCAGCGTTCGGTGGCAACTCATGGGGGCCTCCCATACCATCTTGTCCGCTGTTGCGACTCAACGCTCGTCGACGCTACAGTCGGGGCCTTGACCTAAGGAACCCTAAATAAGGAACGAGGCCCCTTTTTTCCATAAGTTAACCTTTGATTTCCTGTCGAAAACATAAGGAAAGCCTGAGGCAAGCTGTGAAACACTTAAGGAACGCGGAGCCCCTCCCCAACGAAAAGGGTTCCTTCTTCAGGGCCCCGACTGTAGATCGACGCTAATCGAGGCTAAATCGACGCTAGCCGACGCTAAATCGGCGCTATCCCCTCGACTCCCAGTCGCGAGTCGGCGCGAGTCGACGCGGAAGACGGAACTGAAGAGGACCTGCGAGGCTCCCATGATCGGCCACCGAAACCCCTTGCTTCTGCTGCGAGGGGCACCGCGAGCGACTTCTGCGGGGGCCGCCCCTGCATGTACCGCTTGATGTCCTGCGTCGGGGGGGGGGGGAGCGGACATCGAGATCAGAAAGACCACCCTCATTACAGGCACGCCGACGAGCGAAGCCGTTTTCCAGCGGCGAGCGAGGGGGGGAAGTGAGACGGAGAAGGCCTTCTCAGAAGGCGGCGGGACTTCTCAGAAGCCCTCGCGCCTTCTGAGAAGTTTGTTGGTCTTCGGGGAAGAATTAGAAAACTTCTCAGAAGCCCGGGGGGCTTCCGAGCTTTCTGAGAAGGCCTTCTCCTTCTCACTTCCCCCCCCATCGCTCGCCGCCGAACAGAGAACAGACAGACCGCCTTCATCAGAAGTTCTCCGACAAAAAGCGACGCCGTTGAACTAAACGCACCCAGGAGAAAGAACCGAGCAGGGCAGGGCTGACCAGTAAACGCCCCCAGGGCCGCCTGGCAGACGCCAGTGATGGGGGTCGGGGTGACTTCTCCTCCCCGGCGGGCGCGCCTCCTGCTGGCGGAGCGTGCGCTCGCTTCCACCGCCGAGCCACTCCTCCCCGACGGGCCGGCGGGACAGGCCGGCTCCGCCGACGCACGGCCACGTCACAACCGTGCCACACAAGCGACGCACCGCAACGGGGCAAGAAGGGGGGGGAGCGGAGGGGAAGAGCGTTCTGAGCGGTGTCGCGCTGTCGTCCTGCAATGTTTTCCGCGGCTTCTAAGACAATGCAATGTCGCGGCGGATCGTGACCGGCGGGACGCGGAGGGCCACAGAATGGATCTTGCGAACGCCCCGGTCTCTCAGCTGGTTGGGCCTTTGACCAAGGAGGCTCACGAAACTGGCCAGGGCTACACATCCCCCCGTACTTCTCCTTGAGTGTAGCCGGGTCCAAGCGATCACGGCGCCTCCAGGGGAGTGACGCCTGCCTTCGTGTCCTGTCACACTTCCTTTCCCCTTTCCTGTGCACGATTTCCTCCACAGACGGTCACGTTCCAAGCAAATGGATGATGATGATGATGATGATGATGATGATGATGATGATGATGATGATGATGATGATGATGATGCTGATGATGATGATGTTGTTGTTGATGATGATGATGATGATGATGATGATGATGATGATGACGAGGAGGAGGAGGAGGAGGAGGAGGAGGAGGAGGAGGGTGACGAGGAGCTAGGGGTCGGAGAGTCAAACATCTGCGCAGGACGTACTGCCTTGGGTCGGCACTGGGCTCCCTCTTCGCAGCCCTGGCGGCGCCTCCAGCGCCGCGCCCCCTTGCGCGCTCCGCGTGCCAGGGAAAGGGGCTGCGGAGAGGGGGGTCCAACGCCGACCCCTGACATCTGGGCTGACCTCTGGAATTCATGCTTACGCTGTTCCCTGAGAGGAGGAGGAGGAGGAGGAGGAGGGAGGAGGAAGGAGGAGGAGAGAGGAGGAGGAGGATGGGGGGAGGAGGAGGAGGAGGAGGAGGAGGAGGGGGAGGAGGAGGCGGAGGAGGAGGAGGAGGAGGAGGAGAGGAGGCGGAGGAGGAGGAGGAGGGGGAGGAGCGAGGGGGAGGAGGAGGAGGAGAGGAGGAGGAGGAGGAGGAGGAGGAGGCGAGGAGGAGGCGGAGGAGGAGGAGGAGGAGGAGGAGGAGGATGAAGAGGAGGAAGAGGAGGACGCGGAGCCCAGGAAGCAACCGCAGGTCGATCCGGCTCGAAGAGTTCCGACGGGGCTCCCGCCAGAACTCTCCACGGTGCATGCACTGCTGTCGGGACGTGGGATCTCAGAGCCTGGGAGATCTCTGGCGTCCATTCCCTGTGTTTTTTTCGGTTTCGTGCGTGGTTTTTTCGCCAAATGATCAAGGATGCTCCGCGATGGCCCTCGCCGAAGGAAAAATGCACACGTCCGAGCGATGCCGAGGGGGGGCGAGGATGAGCCGCGCCAGCACAGCACGGCGAGAGCCCCGCGCGCACCCAGCGTCTGCTGCACTCGTGCTCCGCCGCTTGCGGACAAAGGTCGTGCTCTCCTCCCCCGCGTGCCAGGCCGAGCAGCGAGAGAGAACAGGCGAAAGACGGCAAGGGACGAGCCTTCTGCAAGAAGACCTGCCTGATTGAAGGGGCCCTGGGACATACAAATAAAGACACACAAATAAAAGGATTCCCCATACCGTCCCATATTTTCTGGGTGTTTGTCTTCCCCCCCACTTCCCATAGTTTCCCATATTATCTGGGGGATCGACGATTAATTGTGTTTGTGTGTTTCTTCCCCTCCTGACTTATTACCATGCGCCACGGTTTGCGCGGGCCGCCAGCGTGGCAAACCGCGTGGGGAAGAGGGCCTTTTACGTGCGATCTTACGCGGGCAGCTTGCGCGCCAATGTCCGCGCAGACGACCCCGTTCTTCTGCGTCGCTCGCATGCACGCCGCTCCTTCCGCCATCACCCTGGAATTGAAATGAAGAAAACAACATAAACATAAACATTGGAGGTGCGCGCTGGAGGCGCCGCCAGGGGGGGCCCAGCGCCGATCCACGGAATCCGCACGGATCGTCGAACATTTATGTTTGGGTTGTTGTGTCTTCTTCGATGCCATCACCCTAGTATTGATGCCGCCGTCCGTGCTAGCTGCACAACGACTACTGGCACACACATGCACACGCACTGTCAGAGATCACCTGCTGGCGGTCCTCGTCGCACTTGGCGATCTTCTCCTGCCCCGGCGCCCGACCAGTTTGACAGGCGGAATTGCGCTCGGTGGCATCACCGCTGCCCCGCCAGCTGCACCTATGCCCCCAGCAGCCAGCGCGCCACATGCTCAGCGCTCGCACTCCGGCGCGCCTGCATGGGCCCAAGGCGGGCAAGAAGCAAACATCGTGGCCAGAAGCTGCAACAACTGCCGGCCGAAACGCTCCGCTCAACAGTGCCAGCACCGTGGGCTGTCATGTGCGTGGCGTGCACCGCGCTATGCCTGCAGTGCCTGGGGTTCTATCCCATTCCCCATGTCCTTCCCATCCCATTCCCGAAGCTTGATCATCCCATTCCCCATGTCCTCCCCTCACAGCTTTGACACTCCACTCCTCATGCATCCTTTCCCCAGCTCTCCTCTTACCTCCCTCCCCTTGCTTTACGTTGGTTCGATCCTCCTTCACTCTTGCCCATGTTGGCCTCGTCTTACGTGGAGGAGGCGATCACAGGTCTTGGGCTATGCGTGCTACGTCCTCGACCACGGGCCCCTTGTTACCCATCGGCCTTGGGCGGTCTTCGGACCGTCGTCGGCGGTCTCCTTCGGTCTTCGACGGTTT